TAAACAAAAAAGAATTAAAAGAAAAATAAATATAAAATTTAAAAAGATTGTGCATTGGGTCTATTTAGGTCTCTCTCTGAGTCATTCCTTATAAGCGAGTGATGAAACTCCTCAACCTCCGAAACTTTTGTAAGGGGTGATGGCGACGGTGACGACTCTCCCAACTTTTAAAAGTTATAAAATAATCACTTAATTTATTGATCGGAATATGATACAATACAATCCTAGAATTGTGTGAGTTGTAATTTTATGTTTTGATTCTCCGTTTATATTATGTCATCGAGCCAGTGCTTGAAAGCAACAACAATACTAGTAGACATCATTAAAATATGATTTATCATATTTCAGTCAACATTTTAACTTTTATTCCAAATGACCGTTAATTTTTTAACCTAAAAGGATGAGTTTAGTATATAGAAATAGTTGAGTGACCATTTTATAATTTTTAATAGTTAGGGGATAAAAAAGATGGCATCATATGATCAGAGATTATTTTGTAACTTTTAATTTGTCGGATAACTCAACAAAACAACACCTTATAATCACAAGAACATTTTTATACTTTATTCTTTACTTTCGTAATTAAACTTTTTTTTAAAAATAATTTGATGGCTAAACTTACGTAATTAAACTTTTTTAGATTAAATTTTCTTTGTCAGTACCCTATTATTTTTATAACGATGTTATGATATATCAACATTAAATAATATTATAATATGAAAAAAATTTGTAAAGAAAAAAAGGATTAAAAGGAAAATAGATATAAAATTAAAACGATTGTGCACTGGGTCTATTTAGGTTTTCTATTGAGTCATTCTTTATAAGCGAGTGATGAACCTCCTCAACCTCCTAAACTTTTATAAGGGGTGATAGCGACGGTGATGGTGGCACAACAATTTTGACTTCTTCTTCCATTAATATATATATATATTTAAAAATATTTTATTTAAATACAATTAATTTTATATAATATATATTACACTAAAGGACAATTATTATAAAAATTAATTTTCATAAATCAATTATATATATATATATATATATTATATAAAATGTGAAGGAATTGTTAATACGGAATATTTAACTTTCATTCTCGCCAGACAAAATGATATTTTTAAGCTTGCAAAATCCAGGGAGAATAGGAAAAAGGATCTAGGTAGCATTAAGTTTATTAAGGATAACAATGGTGTTCTTTTAGTGAAAGATCATGAAATTAAGAGGGTTTGGGGTAGTTACTTCTTTGGCTTATTTAATGACGGTGCCTCTCCCTGTAGATATAGTATTGTTGATGGGTCAGCCGACCGTCATACTACGACCAATGACTGCCCTACAAGTAGGATTGGGTTTGAGGAAGTCAAAATGGCTCTTAGAAAGATGGGGAGGGACAAAGTTGTCGGTCCAGATCAAATTCCTATCACTGTGTGGTTGGCCCTAGGAGAAGAGGGAGTTAAGTGGTTGACCAACATCTTTAATATTATTTTAGAGACTGCTAAGATGCCAGAGGAGTGGAGAGAGTCTACGGTGATACCAATCTATAAGAATAAAGGAGATCCCCAACATTGTGGAAACTACAGAGGTATTAAACTACTCAGCCATACCATGAAGCTATGGGAAAGGGTGGTAGAGGCTAGGTTGAGATAGGTTACTAGGGTTTCTGAAAACCAATTTGGCTTTATATCAGACAGGTCTACTATGGAGGCGATTCATCTACTTCGACGACTTATGGAGAAATATAGGGAAAAAATAGAGATCTTCACATGACATTTATTACCTTGAGAAGGAGTATGATAGCGTTCCCTGCGATACGATCTGGAAGACCTTGGAAACGAGATGAATCCCATCTGCTTATATCTGGAAGACCTCTCAAAGGATTGTTTCAAGTACCTAGGGTCTATGATACATAAAGATGTGGGTGTAGATGACGACGTTACACACCGTATAAAGGCGGGATGGCTAAAGTGGAGGGCTGCAACTGGAGTTTTGTGTGACAAGAAGGTGCCTCTAAAGCTTAAGGGAAAATTTTATAGAATGGCAATAAGACCAGCACTGCTATATGGATCAGAATGTTGGGCAATCAAGAAGGATCACGTAAGGAGAATAGAGGCCGCAGAAATGAGAATGCTTTGATGGGCATGTGGTAGGACTCTGTGGGACATGACACCAAACTCTGCTATTAGGATGTCCTTGGGGGTGGTGCACGTATCCAAAAAATTGAGGGAGGAAATATTATGGTGGTTTGGGCATGTCCTTCGACGACAACCGTCGGATGCGGTAAGGAGGGTAGAGTCGATTACAGTCAACGGTGCCAGAAGGTGAGGATGACCAAGGCGGAAGTGGGAAGACTGCTTGAGATCTTATTTGAAGGATTTAGCCCTTACCGAGGACATGACCTCTGATAGGAAAGTATGGAGACTTAAGACCAGAGTAGCCGAGTAGTGTGGGTCACATCCATAGGGTGTATCATCTCTGTCTTCTTTTTAATACCTTTGTAGTAATTTTCATGACTTCTACTTTTTATACGTTTCATTCATTGGAATTTATGAAGGCTTAGAACTAGGGTAGCGGAGTAGTGTTACCTTAGTTTAGGTTTTAATCCATTTGACTTCATTCCTTCACGTAGCCTGCTATCGTTGAGTGTATCCTTCTCTTCATGTTTCCTCTTTTTAAATTTAGTCAGGTCTTACGTTGCTTTCTATATGCACAGAGTTTTATGTAGGGATTTATTTGCAGGGATTTACTTCCCATTACAGATGTGCATATGAAGACTGCATATGAAGACTTTTCAACTATGTATTTATTTATTTATATACACATGCATTGCATTTTATCTTTATTTTAAATTATCTGACTGTCGGAGGTCTTCCACATAAGCTGCTCTCAACCTGGCGTTGGGGGTAGCCTACTACCCTACCTCCCCTTATCCCATTGCATATGGGAATAGGGTTTTGTTGTTGTTGTTGTTGTTGTTGTTTATATGATAGATCAAAGCATATGGAAATATTTTATATAATTGATTAATTTATGTTTTTCGTTTGTTGCAAAATTAACTTGCCATTATTCTTTCCTAATAGGCTTTTACTACTTTTTTTAAATTATTTATTCGAATTCAAATAATTTTATGCGATTTAAAAGGTAAATTCAAAATCATAATTATAATATGTCGATTATTGAACTGATAGATATGTTTGAACAAAATTCAGCTCATTAAAAAAAAATTCATGTTATTCGAGCCGAGTTATTCGAGTCATCTCGAATTATAAATTCAGTTTTCGAGTTCGAGTCAAGTTGAAATTTTAAATTTTCAAGTTACTCAAAAAATCGAAAAATTGAATAAGTGTTTTGACAGTTTTACGAGTTAGTCTCTGATTTCATTATTTCTTCAATCCATCCTTCATTTTAAGTCTATTTTTTTATCAAATTTGAACCACATGCTCCTAAAACATAATAGAATACATGTGCACTTTCAATTCCTCTTTTTGATAACAATTTTTTTATTTTTCAATTTAGTCCTTCAATTTTTCATAATCTCCTTATTTCTTTAATTCGTCATTTATTTTAAGTCCGACACATGCTCCTAAATCATAGTAGAATACATGTGAACTTAAAATTCTCTTTTTGATAATTTTTTTTATTTTTTAATTTAGTCCTTCGATTTTTCATAATATCCTTATTTATTCAATTTGTGATTTATTTTAAGTCCCCTTTTCACCAAATTTGAACCACATGCTCATATACCACAATACAATATCTATGTAACTCCAATTGTTATTTTTTACTAAAAATGTACTCTTTTTTTTATTTAGTCCCATAACTTTGCATTTTACTCAATTTGATCTTTTGACTACAATTGTTTGCAAATTCTTTTATCTCATCAATTTCTTGACTCATTTATACTCTCATTAATATTTTACTCTCAAAATCATTGCCATAATATTATAAATAATTATAATAAAATTAGCACAGAAACACAAATAACTCAACTCGATTTTCTTAAACTCGACTCGACTCAAAAAAATTTCAAGTTATGTTCGAGTTGTAAAATACTATTCATCAACTCGAAAAACTTAAATTTTTTGACTCGACTCGATTGAATACTACTAGGCCCTAGTAGGATAATAACAGAGAATATAACTATTAGTCAAAAATACATTATGAGATCGTAGTACCGAAACTACGTTATCAGATATTGAAGTTTCAGTTTAGCGTTGACCAAATTCGACACTACACTATCAAGAGAAAACTAGTCTTGGATGGCAGTTATCACTGAAATAGAGAGATGTCATAATAAATGTTAAAAATAAAATTGATATAATGAAATAGAGAGATGTCATGATAAATTTTAAAAATAAAATTGACATAATGATTAATGAGATTTATTTTTAGAAGTTTTGAATTCAAGTATGTTATCTTTGTAGATATTTAAGCGTTCATGTCAAATGATTGAAAGTCATTTGATCATATATAATACAACGAAATCATTTTAAAAATAATTAATATCATAATTTAAATTTTCTTCTTTCCATCAATTTTAAAAATAATTGTTAATACGAAATATTTGACTTTTACAAAAGTGAATGCTATTCTTCTTAGAAGTTCTGAATTCGAGCATATGTGTTTGTATTATAAATTGTTAAGAAAATTTTAAATGAATATTACTTTATAATCACTCTATACTATTTGAAAAATCTATAAGCCAAAAAAATCAATACATATGTCAACAAATAGTCATTAATAGATTCCCATGTGGGAAAAATTCCCACATAGCATCATTCAGTATTTAGAAGTTACTGAAAATAAAAGTAGAAGAACAAGATTCCACAAACACTTTGAATTTAGATACCTACACACACACATAAGCTTCTAAGCATCTGCTAGCTATCTACCAGCTTATTTCTCCATAGTAATAAGGTTGATCAGGCTGCAGTTTTCCTGCGAAATGATTCAAAATTATGACCTAATCAGAGCTATATCAGATGAAATTTCTCAGATCTCTTATATTTATACCTTACAGCATTGTTCTTGACTGAGATGTTAGTAGTACAGTGAGCCTGCTCAACCAAAGAGAATAATTGATTAAAGAACCATTCCATCTTACATGGATACTTCGGGGAAAAAATGAAGAGTTCGAGTAACATAGATGTCGTTAATTCGATACCTTGCCACCAATTACCTCTTGAAGCACCACTAGAGTTGTTCCCATTTGGATCATCATCTTCCCCATCCTTTTTGAACTGTCGATATAGAAGACGATATCCTCTCAAATTTGGCATATCAAGTGGTATCAAGTAAGGAATATTGGTTCTGTGTCCATGGATGATTCGAGGGGTGTCTCAAAGTTTCAAATTCCCATGTAATTTACATATTTTCTTTGTATTTTTATTGATGAAATAATTTTGTACCTCCTCAATTTCTAAATCTAATTTCTAAATCTAAAAGAATTTGTATTTTTTACAAATTTGGCACATAAAATTTTACTTTCGTACTTGTGTATCAATATTATTATGGGTAAAATATGTATTTACTCATCCAACAATTCTTGGTCACTCAAGTATTTTTTTTGAATCATACCTGATGTTACGTTTTGGTCACCCACCATTAAAAAATTAGCGGCCATACTGATGTGATATCATAATATAATGCCGCATTGCCATTGAAAAAAATTGTCATTTAGCAGTTATGTTTATTTTTCAACAGCGAGTGATCAAAATGAAACTAAAACATAATATTAAGTATTAATTTGGAAAAATAAATACTTTGGTGACTAAATACATGATTTATCCTATTATTATACTTACGTAGTGGGGTGCACAAAGGGTTTTGTTCCCTGGAGAATAATTTTCTTGGCCACCATAGTAGATAGATGAGCTGAGGTAGCTAGGCTCCACCGTTTCGTTATGATAAAAAGATGAGTTGTTGTCTTTGTTAGTTGTGCCACTGCTTTGCCCCTTTCCATCAGCGGCACGATCCGACACAAAAACATGTGCAAAATTCACATTATGTTCTGCAAGAACCAACATAAAATGGAACATTGGGAAATTATCTTAAACAAGACTGAACCCGGATTTGCAAATTTACCATGATGATTATCCCATGAACCCCCAATTCCGGACTGATTGGAATCGCTTCCAGGCACCTGAAAAAAAGAGAAAGAAATAATATTATTACCCGTCAGTTCTTCGATCAAATAAAAAAAATGAACTGTAATCGAACATCAACAAGTATAATAAATAAATAAACAGTAATTTTACCTTGGGAGGAGGTGGGAAAATACTCCCAAGAATCGCACTTGTTGTAGATGATGAAGAAGAAGAAGAAGTGTCCTTGGGAGCAAGGAGATGATGCAAAGTCGATGAAGAGCCAGTAGCTTGCTTATTGTTTTCCATAAACAAAAAAAGGAGAAAACTTTATAAAGAAAAAAGGAAATTGAAAACTTTCTTTTTCAACCCAACGAACAAAACTGATCTTCAGAAGATGTATAGAAAGTGTCTCTTAGAAGAGGAGACCAGACAGGAACATGGAGGGTTGGCCGTGGATAAGATTGTTTTCTCCGAAAAAGAAAAGAAATATAAAACAAAGGTGCAGAGGGCAGATGCAGATGGAAAAAGGTGAGAGCGAGAGAGGCTTATAGAGCACGTGAAGAATGCAGATGGGGGAAGATGATGAACCGTCTAAAGCCATCTAGGAAACATTGAACTCGGACATGCTGTAAGCATGATTTTTAGAATCGGACCGGTTAGCGAACCGGTCATGTTATCGATTTATTGGTTTAACCGATCGAACCGGTTCAATCGGTCGGAAGAACCGGACGACGTCATAATTATTTAAAAAATTAAATAAAAATACCAAAAATATTTAATAAAAAATAATTTTGTATATCACAAGTCATATTCAAAGCAAGTCATAACATATATGAGTTAAAAACCATAAAATCAAGTGAAACAAAATGATTCAAATTAACTACAATATAATATTTAAGGTAAAACATATTAAATAATAAATATAATTATATAACTATAATTAAAAAATAAATTTGGAGCTAAAAAAATCATAACAAAATGATATTGTTTGGTTTAATTTAAAAAAAAAATAATCTCACATGGTTAAGAAACATAGAAGAGCATCTCAACTAATTTCTATAAATAATAGAGGTAATTTGACATTCAAAATCATGGAGCCTTTTGGTGAGCATAGAGTGAACTATTCTTTCACTTCAATCAAGCTCGAATTTTAGGCTTCAATCGAGCTTCTAATTTTTTTTGAGTTCAAGCCTTTTCTAATTCAAGTTTCAATATTATATTTCGAGTTCGAGTTGAACTTGATAATTTTTAGTTCGTGATTTTTCCCCGTTTTTTTCGTTTTCAGCCGGTCCGGTTCGAACGGTTCAACGGTTCTGGCCGATTCACTAGTAGCAGTTCAACCGGTTTAGTTTGAACCGGACTAGGCAACGGTTTTCGGTTGACCCGGTCGATCCGGTCCGATTTTCAAAACAATGGCCGTAAGAATAAAGATACCATGAGTATATAATAAAGGAAAATTACGTGTTTAGTACCTAAACTATCAGTTTTAGCCCATTTGAGTATCTAAACTTTTACTTTTTTCAAAATAATATCTAAAGTTTAGTTTTTGTTTCATTTTAGTATCCGCCGCTAAATCTTTATTGATTTGGTACGTTGTTGATAAAGATTTCAAATTATCTTGAATAAATTCGGAATATAATGTTAATTAAGATTTTATTCTAATATTTTAGATAAAATACATGAGATATTATGGGAATCTAAATGATATCATTTATATTGTTTTTTTTTTGAACAATCACAATTGGATCTTATTAATAATTGAAGAAATCAAGATTACAACGCATCAGAAAAAAGAGTCACTAAAATACTCAAACAAAAGTAAATAATAAACCTAAAAATTCGAAGAAAATTAAAAACTTCCATGGAGAATGACGATCAATATCAAAATTCAATAACCTTCGTACAAACTCCTTGTCTCTATCGAATGAAACACTTGATGAAGTAATAAAGAAGTGGAGAGCGAACCAAATAATCTGACAGGCTGCTTCGCTACACAATTCTGATTCCATCGACAAACAACCTTTTTACCAAAAGAGGTGATCTGACTATACATGACCACAGACTAACTAATTAAAAAAAATAAATGTCGTGATGGTTTTTCTGCGAGAACCAAAACGACCGCAAAGGTATGCGAAAAAGTGTACCGAAAAATATGAGGATCGTGCCACAAGAGCAGAGGAATATCATGCCACAAAAGCAAAGAAAATTCATGTCACAAGGACATAGATACTTATTCAAAATTAAAAAGACAATAAAAAACATAAAGATATAATATAAAAAATAAGAGAACTAATATTCTCCGACGGTCGACAACCAACATTAAAATTAGTGTCGTCACCAGCTAAACAAAGATCAAAGAGAAAGATGAAAGTGGCACAAAAATATTGGAAGAAAACTAGATTGAGAGAAAAAGGAAGGGGCTAGGGTTTGAGAGAATTATTTTTTATTGTGATTTTATTTTTAGTTATATTATTGGATTTTTAATTGTTCAATTTATATCACTTAACTTTGATTTTGACTTCAACTATATTATCAGACTGTTAATATTAAAATGGCGCAATGGTATGGACAAAACAACATTGTTTGGTGAGTTTATTGATGCATTAAATGATATCATTTTAGGCACTGAACTTTAGGGGTGTATTATTTTTTTTTACTAAACTTCTAAAAAGTTCACTTTTATGCCCCATACTTTTTCAGTTGTCGCTAATAGTGAAACATTGCCCCTCATCAGTCACCAGCTGTGACAAGACTGATATCAAAATATTTGCATTTCACCACTCTTTCTTCTTTTAGGATTTGTTATCTATAAAACCCACTCAAAATCAATGAGATTAAACAAAAAATTATCATTTTTAGGCTTCGGGGACTTTCTCATATTTGAGCATTTTAGGGTATTTATTCAAAAATCCGAACGATAAGAAACATTATTTTTAGTAGATGAACAACATACCTCAAGACTAGTCTCGTCTGACTACCATTAGAGGAGATTAGAGTATTAACACATCTAAACTCTATATGATTTTTTATCTATTTTGAGTAGGTTTTGTGAAAAAATCAATCAAATGAGAAGAAATAGGAGTGAAATGTGAAAATTTTGATTTTGATCTTGTCATGAATGGCAAATGATGAAGGGCGATGATTGGCTACCAACGACAATAAAAAATATCAATGCTTAAAATTAAACATTTTTTAAGTTTAGTGACAAAATATATATACTCATAAAGTTCAATTCTTAAAAACGATGTCGTTTTGAGAATAGTCGCGTCAAAATGACATCATTTTATCAACGTAATCGCAGTGACATAAAGACTATCCACGTCATCATGCCAAGAAAATTGAATGACTTAATAGTAAATTGAAGCTAAAATCAAAGTTTAATGCTATAAGTTTAGTGATATAAATGACATATTGTCTAAAGTCTAATGGTATATGAGAAATTTACCCTTTTTATACAAACTCATATGCCACATGAGTAATAACATATTGTTGATTTTATAATTTAAATCATCGAACTAAATTAACGAATGAACTCCTACTTATCACTAGATCTCAATTACAATATTCTCCTAATTAAGTCCATTAAATAATATTATATTTAACTTTTTTATTTAATATTTATAATTTTTTTTAGTTATTGACATAGCACACAAGTAAGGATGAAAATGGATCGGGTTGGGTCAGATTTTTGGCCAACCTGATTCCGACCCAAATATTGGATCCCTTCACTCGAAATTTGACCCGAACTCGACTTTGAAAAGGTTCCACCAAATCCGTTTTTAAAGAAAAATCTCGACCCAATCCGACCATCAAGAATCATCCCTAAAATCATGTAAAACCCATCATTTAGGATTCATTCAAAAATGAAATAAACTAAAATATCAATAGATTCAAACCAAAAGAAATTTTAGGTTTTAAAAATCATTCTATATATTTATCAATTTAGAATAAAATATAACTATTTTATACTCCAAAAAATATATAAAATATAAATTTTAAATATAAAAAAAGATTTTCACTAAATAAATACCTTATGATCGAATCCAATTCGAACCCAAATTTTGAAAAGAAAAATCGACCCTATCGGGTCGGGCCGGGTCAAAACTTGTCAGATCCAAGTCCAATACCCATTCCTACACACAGGGTTATATAGAAGGGTGGGTAAGGGTAGTCGTCCCTTGAAAATTTAAAATTAATATATATTTTAGATTTTGTTCTATGTAATTTTATTGAAAATATGTTTTGCCCTTGAAGATTTTATAAATTTGTCTATCCCTAAAATTTTAAAAATATATTCTAATATAAAATTTTTCGTCTGTCCCTAAATGTACATATACCCTAACAACATAATTGTTCAAATTCAAATTTTCTAAGAAAAACAACCCTTCTTTTTACCACTAAGCCAATTTAATGAGTTATATATATATATATATCTCTTTGTATATTCATAATGCGATACAAATTGGATAAATGCTAGTTGGGGGTCTCAAGTTGATGGGTGGAATATACCCTTTGTTATGAACTAATGAACAATTGACTCCCTGGTCTTTTCAACATAATCTCTTTCATTCATTTATTTATTCATTTTTAAGGTTTTCTAATAGTATTTTTCAGGATTAAGAAGAATCAGTGAGGGTGCCCTTATGCGATGCAATGAAGATATTATAGCAATTCATCTATTTATATTCCCTACAAATATTTGAAGAATCAATGACCGAATATATGGTTTGTAGGGGGGAATGTTTAAACAAACACTTCTTTTTTAGATATCAACGTTATGACCTTTAAATAAAATTAATAGTTTAAATACGATATCGTGAATGAAATAAATTATATTACAAGAATTGCATTATATTAAATATCTGCTAGTTTTATTCTAGCAATACAATATTTAAATAACTAACATTACTTCTTTTTTCTAATTTAGTCATCAAACTGCTTTTTATAAAATCATCACTAAAATTATTTTCCCTATGTAATCACTA